AACAAATTATCGTTATACAGTAACTTGCCTCTTTAGATCTATATAAAGAAATATTAAAACTGAGATATCACTGTAACAAATTAATATCTGAAAAGCTTTCAAATTCAGTAATGTTTATTAGACAAAAATTTTTTCGAGTTTGGCGATAAGCCACATAAATTGTTATCTAGACAGCTACAAAAGCTTGAAAATGACCGTGCAATACATCGAATTAAATCAAAATCTGGGACTTACTCATTATCCCCCACAGACATTAATAATCATTTTAAACAATATTATGAATCTCTATATTCCAGTGATTACAAGGATCCCAATGCTATAGAAACATTCTTAAACAGCTGTAATTGTAATTTCTAGAAGCAGATTTTACTTTAAATGAAATAAAGAATACTATAAAGTCACTTAAAGGAGGTAAAGCCCCCGGCCCTGATGGAATTCCCTGTGAGGTATATAAATTATTAAACAATTTGTTAACACCTTATATGCTTAATATGTTTTCCCAAGCTCTGGAGGAGGGACAACTACCTTAGTCATTTAATGAAGCAGTAATTACAGTTATACCCAAAAAAGGAAAAGATCCTGAAGAGGTTGAGGGGTATAGGCCAATATCCCTTATTAATGTGGATCAAAAAATATAAGCCAAGACAATAGCCATCAGAATGAACACATTGGTAGGAAAACTAGTGAAATCTGACCAGACTGGCTTTGTCCCAGGCCGTAACTCTTTTAACAATCAACGTCGATTATTTAATATACTATACAATAACTTGCCTAATTACCTCTAACCTGCCTAGTAAACCTAATTAAGCCTTTAAATGTCCCTTTAAGCTGTATAGAAGTGTCTTAAAAAATATCTAGTAAAATATTATTTACTGTCAACATGGCAAAGATAAAATAAATCAGTTATTAGAAATGAGTTATTAAAACTTTTATGTTTAGAAATGTGTCGAAAAAATCTGCTTTTCTGTTCCGTTAAACAGAAATTGGGCAAAAAAAAACAAAAAAAAAAACAAGAGGGCTTATAATTCAAGAAGGCTAATAATACTGACTTCAGCTGTATATTATTATGGTGTGATGTCTCGGCTGTGTGTTTAAAACATTTCTTTGTTTCAGATCGGCCTTTTGGTACTCTTTTGCTGTGCTAGGTACCCTTTGGAAATGGTACTCAAAAAGTATAATGGTACAGTTCGCTTTCAGGTACATTTTGACAGTGGAAATAGCCATAAAAGCGTACCGAACCATACCATACTGTACCACTCAGTGGAAACGGGCCATATGTGACCTAAAGTCATTTAATGAAGCAGTAATTACAGTTATACCCAAAAAAGGAAAAGATCCTGAAGAGGTTGAGGGGTATAGGCCAATATCCCTCATTAATGTGGATCAAAAAAATTAGCCAAGACAATAGCCATCAGAATGAACACATTGGTAGGAAAACTAGTGAAACCTGACCAGACTGGCTTTGTCCCAGGCCGTAACTCTTTTAACAATCAACGTCGATTGTTTAATATACTATACAATAACTTGCCTAATTACCCCTAACCTGCCTAGTAAACCTAATTAAGCCTTTAAATGTCCCTTTAAGCTGTATAGAAGTGTCTTAAAAAATATCTAGTAAAATATTATTTACTGTCATCATGGAAAAGATAAAATAAATCAGTTATTAAAACTATTATGATTAGAAATGTGTCGAAAAACCTGCTTTTCTGTTCCGTTAAACAGAAATTGGGCAAATAAAACAAAAAACAAGAGTGCTAATAATTCAAGGGGGCTAATAATACTGACTTCAACTGTCTATTATTATGGTGTAATGTCTCGGCTGTGTATTTAAAACATGGCGATTTCTTTGTTTTCAGCTCGGCCTTTTGCTGTGCTAGGTACCCTTTGGAAATGGTACTCAAAAAGTATAATGGTACAGTTCGCTTTCAGGTACATTTTGACAGTGGAAATGGCCATAAAAGCGTACCGAACCATACCATACCGTACCACTCAGTGGAAACGGGCCATATGTGACCTAAAGTCTGCACTCTCTCTCCCCCTCTGAGCAATTAATTCAACACTTTCTTAAACTTTGCTACAAGCTTTAGCACAAAATAGTCATCCGAAGGTATACAGAAAATACACCATCATGTCTATGTACTCACAACAGACAGATTTCAGTAAAATCATCCAAATTATTCATTTATTCATTTTCTTGTCGGCGTAGTCCCTTTATTAATCCGGGGTCGCCACAGCGGAATGAACCGCCAACTTATCCAGCACGTTTTTACACAGTGGATGCCTTTCCAGCTGCAACCCATCTCTGGGAAACATCCACACACACATACACACACACACACTCATACACTACGGACAATTTAGCCTACCCAATTCACCTGTACCGCATGTCTTTGGACTGTGGGGGAAACCGGAGCACCCGGAGGAAACCCACACGAAGGCAGGGAGAACATGCAAACTCCACACAGAAACGCCAACTGAGCCGAGGTTCGAACCAGAGACACAACGACCTTCTTGCTGTGAGTCGACAGCACTACCTACTGCGCCACTGCCTCGCCTTATCCAAATTAAATATGCTTTATTAGAAATTTCAGGTTGAGATGCTTCTATGAACTGTGAACATATTAAAGGGATAGTTCACCCAAAATTAAAACTGTCATCATTTACTGACTCTTTACTTGTTTGAGATTCTTTCTTTTGTTGAACACTAAAGGAGAAAGCTAGAAACCATTGAATTCCATAGCAGAATACACAGAGTTAATTTTCATTTTTGTGTGAACTATCCCTTTAAGGAGCTTGCTCTGAGTTTTCTTGTACTGAATTAACAATTTCTGCTTGCAAGGGTAATTGATTTCAGATCATTTAAGGTTTGCTGTGCTTGTTTATTTATATATTTATATATTTTGTCATCTAGATTGTTTCATGGAATGGAAATGGAAGAGGACGAGGCCTTTGGAAGCGACGAAGATGACTGATCCACCATAAAAGAAAAGCTTATAGGATATTACTTTATTCAGGACACAAACCTAACTAGACTATGTAGGATACTTTGGGTGTCACACAAACACCTCCCACTTTCACCTACATTTCAAATTCCAGTGCAGAACGTTTCTGCTGTGCGCACATGCCTCCCTTTAAATAGTTTTACTGACAAAAATCAATGAGGTAGGTGAAAATGACAGCATAAAGTTTATGAATCTGGTTGCTTTGCTGCCGTTTTGGCTATCATGAGGTTTCTCTTTATTTTGGGAAGCCGTTTATAATGTTGTACATTTCATGAAATCATTCTAGACAAATCTTGGATGTTTAAAAGAAATCCTAAATGGACTTGAAGGTAAAGAATAAGCCAAAGACGGCATGCACACCACAAGAATTTGTTAACATCGCAGTTTATCAGACTGTGCTTGTTTTAAATAAAGCCAGTTGAAGAAACAAGATGTCAGGAATTATCTGAACCCTCTAAGCAAGACAGTTATCTTCTGCAAAAAAAAAAGAAATCTAGGATCTGTATCACTTAATAAAATACTGAACTCTGTTACAGTGTAATTGTGTAGGCTGTTGTCATTAATGCAGACAATCACTGAATATATAGGCTTAGCCAACTGTAGGTCGTAATCCATAGATGTATACACTAGATATCGCATAGGGACCCTGAGCATGCGTCAATAGCGCCGCCACATTGGTACAGTGCTCCAGGGACAAATGTCATTCAACCGCACTAGTCAAGACAGTGTTATTACGTGAAGATGCTGGACTTTAGCGCTGTGGACGGGTGTAGTAATGAGCAAACAAAGAAAACAAAGCACAAAGGCAGAACATTTTATTGGTAATATTAAGTATTTTCCTGTTTTTGTATGTTCTGAACTTTTGTGCTAATCAGGTAACGTTATTGATGATGACAGTCACTTACTGAATTCACCATACGGCAAAGCTGCTCCAACTCGCACTAAACACTCGGCTTATGCTAGTTTTGTTGAATAAAATCCGCAAACAATGCAAAAGAAATATGACAGCGAGATGCTGCGCTGAAACTTGTATTATTGTCGGCTAGTGAACGAGTCGTTCAGGGGATTCATTTACAAACGAATCGCTCCCTCTGTTAGTATGAGAAGTGAAAGCAGGAGAGGAGCTGTGTTTCAGGAAACGGATTAGATCAAATTTAACAGGGAGAGTGGATAGTACATTTCTGTACACACAAACACAAGCTTTTTGTCAGGAATGCCCGTGCGGTCACTGATCCATCAATGTAGAAAAGTGATGTAAAATTATAATTTTCGTAATTAGAAAAAAAAATTGCATACTTACATCCAGGAAAACTCCCGATCATAGATATACGTGTATATGTGTAAATCTCTGGCTTTGGATGGCCACAGTCCTCCACTGTACCTCGGTCCCGCATTCATTTTTATAGGAGCGCTACCCTGTACCAAGATGGCGGCGCTGTTGACGCATTCCGTCCAATAGAAAACAATAGGCCAGGTGACATCTAATATATATATATCTGTGGTCGTAATCAAGCGGCAACCTCCAGCTCTCCTTCGTGAAGCCAATATGGAAGTACTTGAAACTGCAATTCATCGACTCGCCTTTAAGGGCTGGCTTCAAGAAATCCAGAAGATTTCTGACTGCAATGCAAAGTTGTCCAATTTTACAGCTGATAAAACATGTGCACAGCCTGCTTCAAAAAAATGGCTTTGGTGCATATAGCTAATATTACCCTTCATGAGGGGGTGAATTTTTTTTATCAAGTTTTATTAAGTCTGCATTATTAAGGGTGTGGCCACTTGAGTGACAGCTAGGTCTCGCTGGTTGTCGTCACTTCACCTCAGCTGATTCCGGCTGATTAGCTGCTGAACTGGGCATATACATCATATTTTCGTTTTGTTTTATGTGGCTTTAAACAGTTAATTACTTTTTGGAAATCTTTCCTACAATTATCAGATGATATGGCATGCTGTGTGCACTCGATTTCATTTATTGTAGACACTGCAAACGAGGCTATAACATTGATAGTATTTGGCTTTTATTCTTCTTGAAAATAATACACAACCAATACCTTGCAACCAATTCTTGGACCTTGGACTGGTTATACATTCAGGTATTTTACGAGGACAGGATAGGTAGTGCCGATGTGCTTTTGATTGTAGTGGTGACACACGATCTCCACATCATAGAGATTAAACGAGACTTTCACTCTCTCATTTGGAGACATGAGAAAACACAGAGTGTACAGGGAAAACTCGAACTCCGGGCTCACACCGATGAAGATGCTTCCTTTGGGCTTAATTCCGTTCTTCCAACTGAACTGGAGAGCCAGCATGTGTTTGTTCTCGTCTGGCTGGGAGAGAGAATGAAAGGAAAATATGATCATAAAAAAATTAACAAATTTGTTTAATGATAGATAGATAGATAGATAGATAGATAGATAGATAGATAGATAGATAGATAGATAGATAGATAGATAGATAGATAGATAGATAGATAGATAGATAGATAGATAGATAGATAGACATACAATAATAGATAGATAATAGCTAGAAATATGGATGGATGGATGGATGGATGGATGGATGGATGGATGGATGGATGGATGGACGGACGGATGGATGGATAGAGCAGCATTATAAATGGATGGGTGGATAGATGGGTGGGTGGAAAGGGTTACATAATAGATGGATGATTGGATAGAGTTGCATAATAGATAGATGGATGAATGAATGGTTGGGTGGATAGAGGTACATAATAGAGGGATGGATGGATGGATGGATAGAGTTGCATAATAAATAGATGGATGGATGGATGGATAGATAGAGTTACCTAATGGATGGTTGAATGACGAATAGGGTTACATAATAAATGGATGGATGGATGGATGAATGCATGGATGGATGGATAGTTACATAATAGATAGATGGTTGGATGGATAACAATAGCTTTATGAGATGATGGATGAACGGATGGATGGATATGCATAATAGATGGATGGATTAATAGAGTTGTATAATAGATGGATGGATGGATAGAGTTACCTAATAGATGAATGGTTGGATGATGGATGGAGTTACATAATAGATGGAGGGTTGGATGGATTAATAGAGTTGCATAATAGATTGATATATGGATGGATACAGTTGCATAATGAATGGATGGTTGGTTAGATGAATAATTACATAATAGATAGATGGATGGAGTTACATAATCGCTGGACAGCTGAAAAGATGGATGTATGGATAACATTAATAGCTTTGAGATGATGGATGGATGGATAGATATGCATAATAGATAGATGGATTAAGAGAGTTGCATAATAGATGGATGGATGGGTGGGTGGATAGAGTTACATAATATATGGATGGATGGATGGATGGATGGATAGAGTTACATAATAGATGGATAACATTAATAGCTTTATGTGATGATGGATGGATGGACGGACGGACAGACAGACAGATAGATGCATAATAGATGGATGGATTAATAGAGTTGCATAATAGATTTATAGATTGATGGATGGATAGTTACCTAATAGATGGATGGTTGGATGGATGGATAGAGTTACATAATAGATGGATGGTTGGATAGATGATTACATAATAGATGAATGGATGGATAGTTACATAATAGCTGGACAGCTGGATGGGTGGATAGAGTTGCAAAATAAATGGATGGGTGGGTGGATAAGGTTACATAGATGAATGGGTGGATAGAGTTGCATAATAAATGGATGGATGGATGGTTGGATGATGGATAGTTACATAATGGATGGTTGGATGCATAATTACATAATAGATTAATAGAGTTACATAATAAATAGATAGATGGATGGATGAATTGATCTGTTATTATTACTAAGGAATCAGCTGAATCTCTCAAAGTAATGCACTTCTCAGTGGTTTAACAAACTTACCTGTGGCGAGTTTGCATTCACACTATAACCTTTGTAGTCGATGTGTCCTAGTTTCTCTTGTAAGTACAACTGAATCCAGTTATGAAACCCAATGACAGTATGACCTCCTCTTGTCTCTCCTACAAAGACATGTTCAAAACCAGAGGAGTCTGGTCTTGTGTGCAGAGAGAAACGCACACACACACACACACACACACACACAAAAACATTGTTAGATAAATGCATTCCTTAATATCAGATTTAGAGGAACTTATAGCCCTGATCCCTATCAGCCTGCCCAGTCAAGTTTGTTTGTTTGTTTATTTGTTTAGCTAGTGTTTTCCCCATCAGGGTAGTTTGTTTTGCTGTTTATTTTATTTTTACCGTTAATAAATACCCTTTTCTTTGCAATTGAGTCCTCGCCCTTTTCCTCTACCCCAGGGGTCACCAATCTCGGTCCTGGAGGGCCGGTGTCCCTGCAGGGTTTAGCTCCAGCTAGCCTTGACACACCTGCCTGGGTGTTTCTAGTATACCTAGTAAGACCTTGATTAGCTTGTTCTGGTGTGTTTGATTGGGGTTGGAGCTAAAATCTGCAGAACACCGGCCCTCCAGGAACAAGTTTGGTGACCTTTCCTCTACCCGATCGTGACAGAATGGCATCAGAGTGAATAGTAACTTGCATACTTACTTACTAGATCCTTTCCTGGCATAGAGCTCAAACCAAATCTTATACAGCTGCTGTTTGAAGCCTGTGGTGTCCTCTGGAGAAAGACGCTTCTCCACTAGATATTTGTGGGCAATCTAATAGTAGCAAATATGAGATTGTGAAAATTATTATTTTTTAATTCTCTTGCGGAAATGTTAAAGGACATAAACTAAAAAACAAATGAATCATTTCCTTTACTCATTTATTACCTTCATAGTGGGGGTCTTAATGACTGAATCCAGGAACCTATGGTTTTCCATTTCTTCCTCTGGTGTGACGATCTCTGGTTCACCAGTATCACTTTCATAGTTGTCCAGAAGTGAGATGAAAGCTGAAAAGACACAGCATAATTACGTGAATAATATATTTCAGTGTCATCTTTAGATACTTGTTTAGATCCATATCATTTTCCAATTATTTCCAAAGACTTCTACATCTATACATCAAAATTTTGAGATACTAAGTATCTTGTGTACTAACTGCAGACTTATTAAGGGGTTAGACTTATTATTTACACAGCCATTTTCAATGATAAACTGATAACTATTGATGAGTTATGTCTATGAAAGCCCATTTATACCTCTGAATTAAAAAATATCTCATTTTTTTTTAGAATTCATTCATTTTTCTATGGCTTAGTCTCTGATTATCAGAGGTCACCACAGTGGAATGGACCGGTAACTACTTTAGCATATGTTTTATGCGGCGGATAACTTACCAGTCGCAACCCTGTATTAGGAAACACCCATACACACTCATTCACACACACACACACACACACACACACACACACACACACACACACACACACACACACACACACACTTATACACTACAGCCAATTTTCATTTATTTGTTTTCTTTTTGGCTTAATCTCATTATTACACTGGGGTTGCTACAGTGGAATGAACCGCCAACTTATCCCGCATATGTTTTATACAGCGGATGCCCTTCCAGCTGCAACCCATCACTGGGAAACATCCATACACTCATTTAAACATATACACTACGGTCAACTTAGCTTACCTAATTCATCTGTACCACATGTTTTTGGAATGTGGGGGGAAACCGGAGCACCGAGGACACCCACGTGAACACAGGGAGAACATGCAAACTCCACACAGAAATGCCAACTGGACTGGAATTAGCGACCTTCTTGCTGTGAGGCGACAGTGCTAACCACTGTTTTATTAACTAACCACCCGAATTGTGCGATACAAACTCATCTTTGCTTAATAAGACTCAATTCAAGATTTACATACATATATATATACATATATATATATACCTAGAAATTTAAAAAAGAAAAGGAGTCTGAATGATATAAACTAAGTGAACTTTATTTTTAAACTAATTTCGAGAGGATCACGTGCTTAAGATTGCTTGTGGCTGGTCCTGCATTATACAATTCATGATTTACCAATCAGACGACTCCTAAGCCACTATAAATACCCTCAGTTCCATATAACAGGCATCTTCGTTTTGAAGAATCCTCCTTTCACCCCTACTCCTCCTCCTGTGGTTAGCATTGTTGCCTCACAGCACTGCTTCTAGTCTGTCCGACTTTTATGAAACAGACCCAGCCTGATCTCACGAGAAAACGTAAGTATTTTACGTTTCTCCAGTTTAGTGGCTAATTTGTTTGAGTTCAGTCGTACGAAAATGTACGATTTTAAAAGGCGTGCCACCTAACCCCACCCCTAAACCCAACCGTCACTGGGGGTTGAGCAAATCGTTTTAAATTGTACGAATTAGATCGTAAAAATTCATACGAATTAGCCACTAAATCAAAAAGTTACGAATTGCCGTAAGATTGTGTTGAACAGACCCCAGGCCAGTATCCTCAGCGGTAAATAAATGAAGAACCTTTAAGCAAATGTTACTGTAAGGTACACTGTAAAAAAATCGTATGTACTGTTTACTTAATATAAAATAAATAAATATAAAATAATATAAAATAGTGGTAACACTATTGCACATATTATTTTTAGGTAGTTTGAAAACTAGTTTTTTTTTTTTTTTTTAGCAAAAACCACTTAAATAAATCATGTGAAAATGAAAATTTATTTTGAGTGTTAGATATGGATTTTATTATTATTAGTGGAACGTGCTTTTATAATTTAAGCAAATCCACTGCAATTTACTCTCATATTTATTTTTTTTAATCAAAAACCATTTGAAAGAGTCATGTGAAATTTACTAGGTTTTTTTGAGTTATAGAGGATGATTTTAATATTATTAGTGGAATGTATAATATGTAATTAATATAACTTATTTTTAAGACAACAACAAACTCTGTTCCGCATCGTCATTCCCTCCCTTGCTAGCACTCCCTGTTTTTTTCTGCAACCTCACTGCGCGCATCCTGAATGTTTACAAACCGGTAATTCTTCTATAAAGAACAAACAGCTGAGAACCAAATGAACGACCAATTCCTTTACAAAACAACTCCCAGAAATCAACCATCAGGCCATTTTAGAAATTGTTTTGGGATGAAATACCTTTTATTCACTGTGTTTATGTTTTATTTTCAGTGACAGACAATGTACGTTTCTGGTAAAATGTCCCTTGAAAGAGTAAAGGGTGAGTGAAACATTTTCAGTTTTGAGTGAATTAACCCTTTCAAACAAACTCAGATAAATATCAGATATATATTTCTTACCCAAGAAAGTCTCCTTTTTGAAAATGTTTTCATCAACAAATGAAAACAAAGGCATCCCTGCTCCATCACTGTCATCGGGAACACCTGCCAGATCACCCGCTTTACCCTGCGAGATAAAGAAAAGCTTGAGGAACTTCCAAAGGCATATTGATATATTGTTCATACTGTATATCAGACTCAACTTTATTATGCCGTTCAGGGAAACAAAAATTGCAGCAAGGTGCCATAATAGCTGGCATAGCTATTAATTAGTGGGTAATAACATTATTATTATTATATGAGTATAGAAATGGCAGCACAGTGGCTCAGTGGTTAGCACTGTTGCCTCACAGCAAGAAGGTCGCTGGTTGGAGTCTCGGCTGGGCCAGTTGCCATTTCTGTATGGAGTTTGCATGCAGTGTTGGTGTGTGTTTCCTCCGAGTGCTTGGGTTTCCCCCACAGTCCAAACACATGTGCTATAGGTTAATTGGACAAACTTAATTGGCCGTAGTGTATGAGTGTGTGTGAATGTGAGCGTGTATGCGTGTTTCCCAGTACTGGGTTGTGGCTGGAATGGGATCTGCTGCGTAAAACATACTGGAATAGTTGGTGGTTAACTCCACTGTGGCGACCCCTGATAAATAAGGGACTAAGCCAAAGGAAAATGAATGAATGAGTATGGGAATGCTTCAAGTGTGTTTCAATAGCAGGTTAGCATGGAAGCTGCAAAACAATTATGTAGATTATGGACTGAAATGTTGACATGATCAATACTTTGAGCCACAATTTATTTCTTAACTTTGTAATTCAGCCAGTTAGATTTAGTTAAATGACGCAACTGCAATGTGTATAATCTCAATATAATAGTATAATGATGACCAACCTAATAAGCATTCAAGTTGATGTTTTTCAGCCATGTATAAAAGTGTGACTTTGAATTGTTTCTAAAAACAGCACTCAGGAACAATGGCCATCTCAGTGTTTGTGTTAAATAGGTGCACTTTGACCTCATGACCTTAGGTCAACAAACACAAAATAGAAAATTCATGTCACTTGTATTGCAAAAAGTTAACATAAAGCAGATTCCAAATATAATTCAGGATTAGCCATTTATTATTTAGTAAACCTCCAAAATGAACAAAAGGATGATTTCAAAATTACCTGTAGAGAAATGCGATAATCGATCCCAGGTCTCAGGCGATTGGTGTCATTGTCCCAGAGCTCCTGAATCAAAGCTGAAAGTTCTCGATCACCTTCAGTCATTTTCTCTTTTTTTATAATTCCTATGGATTCACTACAGGTGTTAAAATATACCACAGTTGAAATGAAGCTCTTATAGTTACTCGATATCAATGCGGCGACCAAATGTAATCAAAAACTTTGAGGGAAAATTGCTTCAAAATGTAGTGAGTAAGCAATTATTAACATCTCTCAGGTAGGAAACTTACTACATAACTACTCACTTAAGACAGTTGGGTTAAATAATAACCCACAGGTAACCCAACGATGAGTTGTTTTGGCACCGACCTGCTGTTGGTTTATTTTAACCCAATCCATTAAGTTGTTAAGATTAACCCATCAATTTGGGTCAAAAAATAACTAATTTGTTGGGTTGTTTTGCCAAAAAGTGTTTCAACCACTAATATCTCAAATGTGTGTATCATTTCCTTAAAAAAAAAAAAACCTGTAGAAATGAACACAGAGGTAGAAAAAGCGCTTTTATCGATATATAGATCGCTATGAAGAGTGCGTTTCATCAAATTAAGAGTGCTGGTAAAACTGATATAAAAAACACAACACAATGAGATAATTTTATTTTTTTTTAAATCAACAACAATATTGCATTAGTATGGAAGCCCTGAACCGCAAGGTGAAAAAAAAAGTAATCTTGATGGTGAGGAAAAAAACAACTTATGTTATAACGACATAATTTCTCATTATAACAACATAATTTCTCATTATAACGACATAATACCTTGTTATAACGACATAATTATGTCGAAATAACGACTTAATTAAGTCGTTATCTCAACATAGCCTGTGTTCATTTCTATATGGGCCACAAGATGGCAGAATAAGACTAGGAACAGCTTTTAGTAAAATCCGAAATTATCGAGCGTTATTATGGGAATTTACCTGTCATATTCTTTTATATATGCACTGGCGTGTTCACTTGTTGTTCCAGAATAATCTTTTGTCATCAAATGTAACCAATAAATAGCTGTAAAATTCATTTATCACATTTGGTTTATATGTTAGGATGTTTTGTTGGTGGTTAATAGAACAACCTTTTACAACTATTTATTGGTTACATAAATTAAGTCATTATTTCGATTTCATAATTATGTCGTTAGAACGAGATAGGTCATTAGAACGAGATATTATGTCGTTATATCAAATGTAACCAATAAATAGCTGTAAAAGGTTGTTCTATTATCCACCAACAAAACATACTAACATATAAACCAAATGTGATAAATGAAGATGCACTATAGACAGCTAAAACGTTACAAAACTATGCTAATTTAATTAATTATACAACATCATGTCTTGCAAAAACTAGGCTAATAAACGCCTACAGTGTTTCGCAACCTTTTACAGCTATTACTAAAAGCATTGACCTGTTCCTAGAATTATTCTGCCATCTCCTGGCCCATATAGAAATGAACACAGGCTATGTCGAAATAACAACATAAATAAGTCGTTATTTCGACATAATTAAGTCGTTATTTTGATGACATTATGTAGTTATAACGAGATATTATGTTGTTATAAGGAGATAATTAAGTCGTTATTTCGACATAATTATGTCGTTATAACGAGATATTATGTTGTTATAAGAAGATAATTTCTCTTTATAACGACATAAAATCTCGTTATGACAACATAAGTTGTTCACCAAAAAAAAGCAATCTTGGCGGTGAGGAAAAAACAAACAAACAACCTATGTCGTTATAACGAGATATCATGACATAACCACCAAGATTGCTTTTTTTTCACCAAGTCGTTATTTCGACATAAGTAAGTCGATATTATAATGACATAATATCTCGTTATAACAATATCTCGTTATAACGACATAATATCTCGTTCTAATGACCTATCTTGTTCTAACGACATAATTATGTCGAAATAACGACTTAATTTATGTAACCAATAAATAGCTGTAAAAGGTTGTTCTATTAACCACCAACAAAACATCCTAACATATAAACCAAACGTGATAAATGAATTTTACAGCTATTTATTGGTTACATTTAATGTCAAAAGATTATTCTGGAACAAGTGAACACGCCAGTGCCTATATGAAAGAATATGCCTGGTAAATTCCCATAATAACATTCGATAATTACGGATTTTACTAAAAGCATGCACATTGACCTGTTCCTAGAATTATTCTGCCATCTCGTGGCCCATATAGAAATGAACACAGGCTATGTCGAAATAATGACTTATATTAAGTCGTTATTTCGACATAAGAAAGTAATTATTTTGACATAATTATGTTGTTATAACGAGATATTATGTTGTTATAAGAAGATAATTGCTCTTTATACCGACATAAAATCTCGTTATGACAACATAAGTTGTTTACCAAAAAAAAGCAATCTTGGTGGTGAGGAAAAAACAAACAAACAACTTATGTCGTTATAACGAGATATCATGACATAACCACCAAGATTGCTTTTTTTTCACCAAGTCGTTATTTTGACATAAGTAAGTCGATATTATAATGACATAATATCTTGTTTTAACGACATAATTTCTCCTTATAACGACATAATATCTCGCTATAAGTTTTTTTTTCCTCACCATCAAGATTGCTTTTTTTTACCTTGCGATTCAGAGCTTCCGTACGTTAGAGCTAAAATTAACTTTATAATGCAAAAACAACATTATGTATGCATATTAATACAGCTGTTCTGTCAGTTAAATTAGTTGACTGTTGAAATTCAAAACATTTACCCTAACTTATTTAGTTATTAATAAACAACCCAACAAAGGTTTAAAATATCCCAACAAAGCACCAAATATTTTTAACTCAACTATCGGGTTAAATAAATAACCCAACGTTTTTTGAGTGTATATAAAATAATGACAATGAAAAGATCTACTTTTCAGAGTGCAGTTATAGTTATGACACGTTAAAGACTAATACGTTTCTAATGGACACATGAAAATAATTCAGTATCAAAAATATATAATATCCACTGACCTGGGTCCTCTCAGCAGTATGGGTTACTGGTAGATTTGGGTTGTCTTAAAAATAGTGAGTAGCACAGCGCTGTTGCTACACATGGACCGTTTGGGTAAGATGCAGTGACCACAGCATGAGAGAGGGCCTATTCTAAAAGGTTAGCCAGTGTCAGCAACTCTAGCCAAAGGGATTAGAGCAGGTTGTGGTGCTTTTGAATGTGCCTCTACAGTGAGGACAAGTGCTTTGTACTTGTTTTCGTGAGGTATTGTTGCATTACCTGACACTGTGTACCTTCTAAAACCTGACTCAACCACCAAAACATTGGGTGGCAGACATTTACCTCATATGTTAGCAATTATATCTCTGGAGTTATTCTTTAATGCAGTGTTTCTCAACTGGTAAGTCGCGACCCACTTAACATTTTCAGAGGGTCGCGGAGTGTGTGGTCAAAAAAACAACAAAAGTAATTTTTTTTTTTACTTATTTTGCTTATACCAGACTTTTATTTTGAAATGCGTGCGCAACAACCCTACCATTTTACATGAGAAATTTCATTTAATTATTGTAACAAATATGTCGAAGGGCAAGTACGACCCAGAGTATGTAAAGTATGGATATATATATATATATATATATATATATATATATATATATATATATATATATATATATATATATATGTGTGTGTGTGTGTGTGTGTGTGTGTGTATATATATATATATATATATATATATATATATATATATATATATATATATATATATATGTATGTAGTGACACAAATGACCATTTTGTCACTTGAGGTGTTGTAGGGTTGTTTCTGACGCGTGAGAGCTCAACAAACGAATCATCCTCCAAATACTGCTTATTAGATTTATTTTTTGCACAGACAGTTCTTATGGCTCAATTTCCACTTACAGTCTGGTATATAAATGCTCATAAAATCACATTGAATGCCTCCATAAAGCTCTTTCAAACACGGTCAAAAAATGTTGTGCTTCCCTCTAATTACACACCTGTTGTTCTAAGTCTTTGTCTACCTATATACTCCTCCAAACCCACACTCCACCCAGTGGTCAAAAACAGCATTACAACAAACATAATGGCTCTTACACCCCGGCCCCTAATTGTACATGGCAGGTAGACATAACAATTCAACAATATACATACAAAGAGCCATTAAAGCAACACTATAAACATTGCATTAATCAATTCTGTGTAGGTGTCAAATTTAACAGTCTTTACCATCAGTCCATTATATTTCCATGTTGTCATACAACAGACAAAGTTTTGTCACGGGTCTCTCAAGTACACTGGTTTTAGTTTGTACTCGCACAGAACGAACAAGTCCATTTTTATCTGGAAAAACCTCCAGAATTCGCCCCATTAACCAAGACCCTCGAGGGGCAGACGAGTCCACAATGACAACAATGTCACCAGGAACAAAGTTTCTCCTTTCCTTATTCCATTTCTGCCGATCTTGAAGCAAAGGTAAATATTCATTTGTCCATCTTTTCCAGAATAAGTCACACATATACTGGACCTGTTTCCATCTCCTCTTGCTGTATAATTCAGATTTTTCAAATAATCCAGGTGGTAATACTGGTTTACCTTTCATCTGAAGAAGATGGTTTGGAGTAAGTGGCTCCAAATCATTGGGGTCATCTGACAACTTAGTTATTGGGCGATCATTTAGAATGGCCTCAATTTCACATAGTACAGTATGGAATCCTTCATCATCCAAAATCTGCTGATGTAGGATGGAATTCAAAATTCTTTTGACCATTCTGATTACACGTTCCCAGATTCCACCATAATGCGAACCTCCTGGAGGATTGAAACTCCACTGGACACCTTTCTGGAGCATTGCCCTTTGAATTTTGTTTTGATTCCATGATCTCAGTGATTCCTTTAATTCCTTTTCTGCGGCAACAAAGTTGGTACCATTATCTGATCTTATTTGAGTTACTTGCCCTCGTCTGCAGATAAATCTTCGAAGAGTGTTAATACATGAATCAGTGTCCAATGAGTAGGTGACTTCCAGATGAACTGCTCGACTTGCCATGCAAGTAAAGATGACTCCGTAATGTTTTACAATGGAGCGTCCTCTTTTAACTTCCACAGGACCAAAATAATCCACCCCAACATTCGAAAATGGAGGCAAATCAGGAAGGAGTCGTTCCTTCGGCAAGTCTGCCATCTTCTGCTCACCCACCTTAACTCCAAAACGTCTACAATGGCCACAACTCGATATAATCCTTCTGGCAGCTGCATTACCCTTAATGATCCAATATCTTTTCCTCAGCTCTGAAAGCATATAATTTCTTCCACTGTGACCTAACTTTTGGTGTATATGACGCAAGATGAGCGTGGCAATATGCTGATCCTTAGCCAGAATGATCGGATGCTTTCTTTCTTCCGGCATAGCAGAATTTCTCAATCGTCCTCCTACTCTCAAAATACCGTCTTGATAGACGGGATCCAATTTATACAGCTTGCTGTCTCGGCTTATTTTTGAAACAGGTGAAACTGACAGAGCATCGATTTCCTTTTTAAACTGTTGCCTTTGACTGAATGCAACAATAGCTACTTCAGCTTCATTCACATCCTGCAAACTTAAATTTGGTGTAACCACAGAACCAGTTAGTTTTCGAAGTTCTTTCTCCGTCTTTTTAGAAGTTACTCCAGAAGAGTCTAAAGAGGCTTGAATTTCCTTTCTCTTTTGACTTCGTTGTTTCAGAACTGTCTTTAATTTCAAGAGCCAAGCAACAGCAACCTTCAACTTTGTCCAGTCTGAGAAATGAGTAATCAGCCTATGAGTAGCATTTGACTGTTCACTTACAAGAGTGCTATTTACACATATGTTCCTCTTGACGTCAGGATCATCTGCTTTAAGAGCAGAATCAAATATTTGTGCTGGCCATTCTTCCACTGGTTTCCACAGATAACTTGGTCCATTGATCCATTCTCTGTTTGTTAACAGCTGATCTGCTTTCAGACCTCTGGAGCAACAGTCTGCTGGATTTTGAGTCGTAGGTATGTATCGCCACTGTAATGGTGTTGTAATTTCTCTTATTGCAGAGATCCTGTTGGCGACAAAGGTAAGAAAACGTTTGTCCTCATTTTTTATGTATTTCAACACGGACGTACTATCTGTCCAGAATACTGAATCAACCAATGGAAACTGCATCTCTGCCCTTAACATTTTGTCCACTCGAGCAGCAAGCACAGCAGCTGTCAATTCAAGACGTGGAATAGTTACTGATTTCAAAGGTGCTACTCTAGCTTTACTGAGTAGGAATGTTACATGAACATCATGTTTTGTCTCCATCCTAAGGTACGTCACAGTGCCATATCCAAGTGTACTTGCGTCAGCAAAATGATGCAACTGAACGTTGGTAAGTTCATCCATTCCTGCTGGTTTTAGACATCTGTCCATCTTGAAATCTGCCATCTTCTCAAGCTCTTTTAACCATAAAGACCACTGCCTTTGGAGATATGAGGGTAGCAGATCATCCCATCCACATCTTATCCTACATAACTCTTGCAGGAGAATTTTTGCTGTAAGAGTGAATGGAGCCAAAAATCCTAAAGGATCATAGACAGAGCATACCTTTGACAGGACACCACGCCTGGTGCAAGGATGATCTTTGCTAGTTATTTTAAAATTGAAAGTGTCAGATTCAACACACCACCACAAACCAAGAGCTCTTTCCATTGGCAACTGGTCCTTGTCCAGATCCATCATTTTTATGCCCTGTGCTCGGTGTTCTTCAGGTACACTTTGTAGCACAATGCGGCTATTGCTGATCCATTTTATTAACTGGAAACCTCCTGCTAAGCAGACATCTGTGAGATCCTTGATCATCAAGACGGCCTCTTCCTCAGAAGGTACACTTTTCAAACAATCATCCATGTAGAAGTTTGTGTAAATTGTGTCAATTACCTTTTCAGGAAAGTCATCTTTGTTGTCCTCAGCAGTTCTACGTAAAGCATAGCAAGCACAACTTGGGGACGACACAGCACCAAACAAATGCACTTTCATCCTGTATTCCACAGAGTCCTGATTGATATCACCATCTGGCCACCATAGGAAACGAAGAAAGTCAGTATCTTCTTCTGCAACTTTAACCTGGTGAAACATTGCTTTTACATCAGCCATAAATGCAATAGGCTCTTGTCGAAACCTCACAAGAACTCCCAACAGTGAATTTGTCAGATTAGGACCCTGCAGAAGCTGATCATTCAATGATGTACCTTTAAAGGCAGCTCCACAATCAAACACCACTCTTAATGTTTGCTTCTTGGGGTGATAAACCCCATGGTGAGGGATATACCAAACTTTCCCTTCATCCTGTTTTAATTGATGTAACGGTACTATTTCGGCATAACCGTGTTTAATTACCTCATCCATGAAATCTTTATATTCTTGATGGAAAATCTTGTTTCTTTCAAATTTCCTTTTCAATCCAATTAAGCGCTGTTTAGCCACACAAAGGTTGTTTGGCAACATGGGAATTTCCATCCTAAAAGGAAGATTCAATTTATAATGTCCATCTTGAAACTCAATTGACTTGCTTACCTTTTCCATAAAGGCATGCTCTTCTCTTGACATTTCCTTCTTTTCAACAGAATTCTCATTAAAGTCATGATTGTATTGTTTACCAAGCATATCCTCCAATTTTCTTACAGAAATCCTGTTAACAGTCACACCTGAACATTTGACCTTATTCCTGCTTCCTTGGAGTGGTCCATTTACAACCCATCCCAATAGGGTTCTAACTGCATAAGGTCCATCTCCATTGCTGTTTATAACCTCCCAGGGCTCCATTACCCTGGAAGCATTTGCTCCAATCAGCAAATCCACATCAGCAGGAATTTGAGGAATCTCAACACCTTTCAGATATGGCCAATTTTCCAAATCCTTTTGAGTGACAATGTTGTCTCTGGATACAGGCATTCTTTCTTGAGTGAAGACTTCTGGAAGACTATAAAAGGTGTCATCAAGAAGGTTAGACACTTCCAATCCAGTCAAAACAGTGCTATTAACAGCCTTTTGATTGCCCATTGTTTTCAAAACAATATTAGTTTCCTTTCCCTTTAATTTCAAACTATGCATTAAGCGTTCTGAACAAAATGTGGCAGAACTGCCAGGATCCAAAA